CTGACTGGCCTCCCCCACTGGTTCAGCCACATTAATAATAATAATAAATAATAATAATAATAATAACGGTAATGGTAATGATAAAATAATAATAATAATAATAATATTATTATTATTATTATTATTATTATTATTATTATTAAATAACTAAGATAATAATACTAGATAATAATAATGCTAATGATAATAATAATATATATAATAATAATAATAATAATAATAATAATAATAATAATAATAATAATAATAATAATAATAATAACAATAATAATAATAATGTTGGTAGAATTACCGACAATATGTAAAGTAAAAGGACACAAGTGCAACTAATGTGACATTTTATTGTGGGAACGTTTCGCTCTCCAGGAGCTTTGTCAAGCCGTTACAAACAATACATGGACACACAGGGTATATATAGGCTCAGAGTGAGGTGCAATAATAGTGGTAGTAGTAGTAGTAGTAGTAGTAGTAGTAGTAGTAGTAGTAGTAGTAGTGATTAAGTTGTAGTAGTAGTAGTAATACAATATTTCAGAATAATTAACTTGCAAATGAGTAAAAGGATATAAAAGCTATTACTTGAGTAACATAAATAGGTTAGACAAATATTTCTATTGGAGACTGGATAGAAAAGGTCTGTTTCAGTGTTCACTCTCTGTAATGTGCTTTGTGTAGTATTAACAGGAGAGACTATGTGATGGCAGGGTTTACTGTTTTCAGGAGGATTCTTGCTAAGACTTCAGAGATGGTGAAGCTGCCGTTGTTTTGTTTAATTGTATTCGAAACAGCGATTATTGCTGATTCAAGGCACTTGCTTCTTCAGAAATTAGTTTCTTTGATCACTAATTGGGCGTCCCTGAATTTCATGAGATGATTGGTGGAATTTCGGTGTTGTACACAGGCGTTGTTCAAGTTATCGTTCCTACATGCGTAAATGTGTTCATTGAGGCGGGTGTCGAGGTTTCTTGCTGTTTCACCTATATAAATCTTGTCGCAGCCTCCACAGGGTATAGTGTAAACCCCTGCGTTGACTGGTTCGTGGTGCTTTGATTTTGTCCTGGATAGATCCTTTATTGAGGTGCTAGAAGCGATGGCGACTCTGGTGTTAGCTTGTGAAAGTACTTTAGAAACGTTCAGTGCAACCTGGCTGTTGGGAAGAATTATAACTTTGTTGGGAGTGGTGTTGGTGCGTGGAGAATTAATGATCTGAAGAGCTCTTTTCTCGCAGCCTTTGGTGAAAAGGGAAGGAAAATGTAACTGAGTGAAGGGATGGTGAATGTATGTACATTCCTCGTCAAGAAACTCAGGACTTCAAATTCGGTATGCTCTTAGGAAAAACCCGATGATGATGCCTCTTTTGGTCTTAGTATCTTGACTGGAATAGAAGTGTGTGGAGATCATTTTTATTTCTAGGTTTCCGATAAACTTGAAATCTTAGGCTGTTGTCTACTTTGTGAATGAGGACGTCTAGGAAAGGTAGCTTGTCATTGGACTCTTCTTCTAGCGTAAACTGGATCGCCGGTTCAACTGCGTTGGGCCTTGCCTGTAGATTCTGTACATCAAAACGTTTGGGAGTTATTAGGAGGACGTCGTCCACGTAACGTAACCAAATGACATTCACCAAACCTTCACTGAGTTACATTTTCCTTCCTTTTTCATCAAAGACTGCAAGAAAAGAGCTCTTCAGATCATTAATTCTCCACGCACCAACACCACTCCCAACAAAGTTATAATTCTTCCCAACAGCCAGGTTGCACTGAACGTTTCTAAAGTACTTTCACAAGCTAACACCAGAGTCGCCATCGCTTCCAGCACTTCAATAACGGATCTAACCAGGACAAAATCAAAGCACCACGAACCAGTCAACGCAGGGGTTTACACTATACCCTGTGGAGGCTGCGACAACATTTATGTAGTGCAAGAAAGGTATAAAGTACCGACAATATGAAAGTTTAGACACATGTGCAACATCTGGATATCTTTATTGTAGACGTTTCGCCATCCAGTGGCTTTATCAATACAGATTCTAGGACATAATTAGAAGACAGTAGAGCTATATACAAAAGATGAGGTAATCAGTCCCTCAGCCTTCGAGTTAGTGTTCAGGAACCAGTCAACAAGGAATCAATCAATCAGGAACCAGTCAACCAGAAACCAATCAATCAGGAACTGGTGTTTACATACTAAAATTACGCAAAAATTTGCTATTTTTTTTGGGTGGGGAGGGGGGAAGGAGGTAGTCTGCCTTCATGCTGGTGAAGTGCTCTTGATCCAAGGAGGATGGAGTTACCTTTCTCTTCCTCACATCAAAGAATATTGCTTTCAATTTTACCAGGTGCTGCATGACCCACATGGGTTTAGCGCTTCTCATGAATGAAATACTAAATGATGACATTAATAATAATAATTATAATGATAATAATAATAAAAATAATTAATAATAATAATGATGAAAAATTATGATATAAATAATAATAATAATAATAATAATAATAATAATAATAAAATGCGCTGGCATAGTATTAAATTATTCTTGAATAGAGGTGTACAATTGACATGCAACCTTGACCCTCGTGTAGTCGACAGACCTTAAACCCCCCCATTAACCAACCAATAAACCTACAGTGGTCATGCACAGTATATCAGTTTTGTATGATATGGTGCGTGAGATTATATAAACAGTAGAAATAAATTATTTCTAATTTTGGCTCATTTCACTACAAACAAGACTTATGTTTCTCACTGAGGGCCCGGAGAAATGAAACTCGATACGGCATCAGCTCTAAGTCGCCCTGTAAACCGTCAACAAGGACTGTGAAACAGGGCTCGATTCGGCGTTGGCTGTGAGTTGCCCTATAAACCATCAACAAGGGCTCGATACGGCGTCGGCTGTAAGTTGCCCTATAAATTATCAATAGCGAGATGAGCAAAATATAATAAATGAGCCGTCGTAGCCCTTACAAACCACATCATCACTAAATGCAGGGAATACACGACCGCGTGTCCTGATCCATGTGTCGTAGCTCAGAGAGTAGTGAGAAAATAATACATACAACGTTTCGCTCTGTGTACAGCTTTATCAGGTCATGCTTCCCTCTGTATAGAGCTTTATTAAGTCATGCTTCTGTGTAGAGCTTTATCAAGTCATGCTTCCCTCTGTATAGAGCTTTATCAAGTCATGCTTCCCTCTGTATAGAGCTTTATCAAGTCATGCTTCCCTCTGTGTGGAGAGACACTCAAG